GAGACAGCTGGCTTAAACTGAAAGTGAAAGCAAATTGAACCAGAGACCTCGGCCGAGGAATGAGTAAACTGAATCAAGGATTAAAGCTTAAAGCAATAGGACATTAAATTAAGTGCTGAGACCTGCGCAGATGACTACCCGACGTCCTGCCCGAGTCACGGTGAGTGAACGGCAACCCCATTTCCCTTCCCGGACATGGGTCAAGTATTGAGTGAACACGAAGTGTTTGTCGGAGGCCTTATAAAGGCATGAAAGACAAGAGAGATAAGGGTTGAAACAAAAGTTATTACAGTATTTTCAATTTATTCATAAGGTTTGCCCTTGGTTCCCCCTAGAGGGTTCTATAGATACCAAGAGGTGGAATAGAGTAAGAGATGCTTTAAAAGATTATTATAGAGTTTTCGGTCCAGAAAAGGTTCCTGTGACCACCTTTACATATTGGAATTTAATCTCTGAGCTGCTTGCCCAGAGGCATGCAGACCCTAAGGTTGAGGAGACAGTTACACTAGGTGAGGCTGCCTTGCGCGACTCCGTTAAATCTACCTCAAAACCGCCCTCAGAAAAATCTGAAGCCTCTAATTTCTCAGATGCAGAGAATGGTGGCCTATTAGAGATCCTCATACATGGTGATCTGCCACCACTTCCACCTGTTGACATGATCAGCAGGTCCCAGGATGGCAGCCTGCCACTCCCTGTGCCTCCATGGCAAATTGGGGATTCATATAAGCCTTTAGAAACAACCTTAACTCTGAAAAGCTTGCAGCCGCACAGCAGCTGGTGCAGAACCAGTTAGATGCAGGCCACATTGTTCCTAGTAATTCCCCTTGGAACACACCTATCTTTGTTATCCGGAAAAGGTCAGGGAAGTGGAGGCTACTACAAGACCTTAGGGCGATAAATAAGACAATGGTCTTAAGGGGGCCCCTACAGCCAGGCCTCCCCTCACCCAGTGCCATTCCTTTGGGATTTTTTAAAATTGTCATAGATCTTAAAGATTGCTTTTTCTCTATTCCTTTACACTTCATGACTTCCAAAAACTATTGGGAGACATTAATTGGCTCATACCATTTTTAAAACTAACTAAACATGATTTACAACCCCTTTATGTGCTGCTTCGGGGAGACATAGATCCAACTTCCCCCCGAGAGCTTACACCTGATGCCAGGAGAGCACTTAGTAAAGTAGAAGAGGCTATTGCTCAACAAACTGTTTCCTTTATGGACTACAATGAGCCTGTACAGTTTCTCATTTTTAATACAAAGCTTTGCCCCACAGCAGTGTTCTGGCAACAAGCTCCCCTCATGTGGGTCCATTTATCAGTCTCTCCAAAAAGAACACTTTTGCCTTATTTCCAAGCTGTCTCAGACCTAATAATCCAGGGTAGAAAGCAAGGAAAATGTTACTTTGGCAAAGAACCAGACATTATCATTCAACCTTTTACAAAAGACCAAATAGATTGGCTACTTCAGAGTATGGAAGTGTGGCCTATTGCCTTAGCTTCCTTTTCAGAGACTATTGACAATCATTACCCTCCAAATAAGCTAGTTGACTTTGCTAATCGTCACTCATTTATATTCCCTAAAGTCACAGCTTCACAACCCCTTCCAGGTGCCCTGGTGTTATTCACTGATGGCTCGTCCTCCGGAAGGGCTGCTTATGTATCTCAAGACAATGTTTCTACCCTCCAGGCAGATACTTCCTCTGCACAATTAGCAGAGTTAGAAGCTATTCTTGCAGCCTTTGCTGCTTACTCTAACCAACCATTTAATTTGTATACTGACAGTGCTTACCTTGCTCAGTCTGTTCCATTATTAGAGACTGTTGCTACTATATGTCATGCTTCCCCAGCTGCAAATCTGTTCAAACAATTACAATGCTTCATACGGCTTCACCGTCATAAGTTCTTTATTGGTCATCTGCGAGTTCATTCCAACCTCCCAGGGCCTCTTGCCCAAGGAAATCATTTGGCTGATGTTGCTGTACGAGCACAGGTTTTTATGGCTCAGGACTCCAAGGTGTCTGAGGCCCAACAAGCCCATCAGCTACACCACCTCAATGCTCACACCCTCCGCCTTCTCTACAAAATTACCCGTGAGCAAGCCAGACAAATTGTAAAAAATTGCCCATCTTGTGCTATCCACTTACCTGTTCAACACCTAGGAGTCAACCCTAGAGGTTTAATTCCTAACGCCTTATGGCAAATGGATGTTACCCATTTCAATGAGTTTGGCAATCTAAAATATGTACATATCATTATTGACACTTATAGTGGCTTCATTTTTGCCACTCTCCAGACTGGAGAAGCTGCTAAACACATTATAGCCCATATGCTGTCAGCCTTCTCAGTTCTGGGATGTCCTCAACAGCTCAAGACCGATAATGGCCCTGGCTATACCAGCACCTTCTTTGCTCAATTTTGCAAGAGCCTTAATATCCTCCACACTACAGGTATACCTTATAACCCTCAGGGACAAGGCATTGTTGAACGTGCTCATCGTTCTCTTAAATTCACCATAGATAAAATAAAAAGGGAGACATGGTACCCCACCCAGGGGTCCCCTAGAAATGTCCTTTCACATGCTCTTTTTATTTTAAATTTTCTGACCCTGGATGCTTCAGGCTGCTCCGCAGCATCTCGGTTTTGGCATACTCAGACTCAAACACGGTTTGCATCTGTTTTATGGAGAGACCCACTAACCAATGTGTGGAATGGCCCTGATCCAGTCCTTATCTGGGAACGAGGTTCAGTGTGTGTTTACTCTCAACAAGATAGAGAAGCTAGATGGCTACCTGAACGCCTCGTAAAGCAAGTAGACAGTTCTTCAAAGACCCCATGTAATGCCCAGGAATAATGTTATTTCCTGAGGCACAATCCCCTGTGTTCTCTTACAGGTGACACATCTCCCTGGAGCCTTATGCTGCTTAGTCAGCCTTCTTGAGCCACACCACACCCATGGTGAATTTTCAACCCCTGCCAAACAGACTACAACTACTGACAGCCATGCACAGAACCCCATGACTGCGGAAGAGGCTCTTCTCGGTCTGGAGGAACATACACCAGCCAAATAGACTGCATCCAGTGTTATGCAAGGCATGCTCCAAGACACAAGAGAATGACTTCATACAGAGACACCAACAAATGGCTGCCAACCCCTTCTCCTTGATTTGGGGGGGGGAGTTTTTCCCTTACCTAATGCCCCTTTTGGGTCCCCTAGCTGACCTATTGTTTCTCATTTCTGTGAGTCTTGTATTTTTCAGAGGATTATGATGTTCATTAATAACTGGATAGACGCATTTATGGCAAAGCCCATTCAGGTACACTATCTCAGCTGGAGATGGCAGATCAACAAACCTACCGGGAAGGAATTCCCACAAGTGGCCCATATGATGATGTGGCCTAACTGCCCTGGAGCAATGGACAGGCAGTCAGAGACGGGCAACTAGGACATGCATGTTAATTCCAACAGCCACCTAAGACAGGCACAGGACCAACTGCTGTTCTGCAAGCCCATGACGGGTAAGGCCTGGTTGGGTTCATGCAATAAGGTCCTTGACCTAAGACAGACACTGTCCTCACAGGGCCTGCCATACTCTTAATTAAATAATATAAAAAGGGAGGAGATGTAGGGAGCCGAGTGACAGGCATTGCTGCCTCGATGTCTCTCTCTCTCCTATGGGCGCTGCGTCTGCCTACATTAACCATAATCCCCTCCTGCTTACGTCACGTATCCGGATGTGATGGTGACCCTGTTGTATTCATCTGTTTAACCTCTTCCTGTCCCAGCTCCCGCCCTTAGCCTATAAAAGGTGTGATCATTTTCTGAATAAACCGGAAGCTTGATTGGATTATTTCGTCTTGCTTTCGTCTCTCTTTTGTCTCCCCTATGTCTTTTATTTAATCCCCGTTTCCCCTCCAGGAGTTCTGAACTTGTTGATCTGCAGGCCGGATCATCTTCCCCCCTCGTTGGCGGTGGATTCACCGATTTCGTGTGAGTGTGGCCGGCCAGAACGTGTGGTATGTTTTGTCTTATTGGTGTTCTCTGTTGTCTCAGTTTTTGTCCTCGTCTCTTTTGTCATGGGACAGAATGTCTCAAACCCCCTTTCTCTCACTCTAGACCATTGGTCTGAAGTGAGAGAGTGCGCTCATAACCTCTCACTCTTGGTTAGAAAAGTAAATGGCAGACTTTCTGCTCATCGGAGTGGCCAACCTTCCAGGTAGGCTAGCCCCCGGAAGGGACCTTTCATCTCCCAGTAATTTTTGCAGTTAAGAATATTATCTTCAGGCTAGGACATCAGGGACATCCTGATCAGATTCCCTACATTCTGGTATGGCAAGATCTTTTGGAGGACCCTCCATCTTGGGTTAAACCTTTTCTCCCCCCTTCACTTTCTTCCCCCAAACTCCTCCTGGCTAAAGCCCCGTCAGCTCCATCTGTCCTGCCTGATTCCCAACCAGATCTCCTTCTCCTTGATTTGGATCCTCCTTGCCCCTCATGTCCCCCACCTCCTTATCCCTCACCATCCACTCCCTGACTCCACACAGCAGTCACCTCAAACTAGTCCCCCTTCCTCCGAGTCCACCGCTTCTGCTGTGAGCCCCCTACCTCTCCCACCTGAACCCACAGGCCCCTCTCAGGGAACTCGCAGCAGGCATGCTCTTCACCGTGAGGGTGTTCCCACCCTCCCATTGCGACCCTGCGGCCCCATGATTATGATGGCATGGAGGAAGGAGAGATGTCCACCCTCCAGTATTGGCCCTTTTGTTCCTCTGACCTGTATAACTGGAAAAATAACAATCCTTCTTTTTTGGAGGACCCAACTAAAGCTTACAGGACTCGTGGATTCCCTTATGTTCTCTCACCAACCCACCTGGGATGACTGCCAACAACTCTTAGGTATCCTCTTCACCACAGAGGAGAGGGACCGAATCCTCCTTGAGGCCCGAAAGAACGTTCCTGGGGACGACGGAAGACCCACTCAACGTCCAGACCAAATTGATGATGTGTTCCCCTTAAAGCGCCCCAACTGGAACCCAAACACTCCTGACAGTAGGCAGCATTTGTCCATCTATCGCCAGACTCTAATGGCGGGTCTCCAGGCGGCTGCGAGGTGCCCTACCAATTTGGCCAAGGTAAGAGAAGTTACTCAGGGACCCACTGAAGCTCCCTCAGTGTTTTTAGAACGGTTAATGAAAGCTTACCACTGTTATACTCTTTTCGACCCTCACGCCGAGGGCCACCAAGGATCAATGGCAATAGCCTTCATTGGTCAATTGGCCCCTGATATCAGGTGCAAGCTTCAGAGGCTAGATGGGCTTCAGGATTTAACCCTAAGAGATTTGGTTAAGGAGGCTGAGAAAGTTTACTATAAACGAGAAACTGAGGAAGAAGAAGAAAGGCTAGAGATAGGAAACGAAACAAGGAGTTAGTAAAGATGTTGGCCACAGCGATAGGCAAGCCAGTAGACTCAGGAAAGGGCAAGCCTCGCCGGCCCCCATTAGACCCGGACCAATGTGCCTACTGTAAGGAAAAAGGGCACCTGATTAAGGATTGCCTCAAACTCAAAAGGAAAAAGGAAAAAGAGGAAAAAGAAAAACGGACTTTCCAGCAAGCTCCCATACTTGCTCTGGGAGATGATGACTAGGGGAGATGGAGCTCAAACTCCCTCCCCGAGCTCAGGGTAACTTTTAAGGTGGAGGGGACTCCTGTTGACTTTGAGGTCAATACAGGAGCTGTTTACTCGGACCTACAGGTTCCTTTACAGGACCTACAGGGTCACTCACATCCAAAAGTCACTAGTTCAAGGGGCAAATGGGAGTCAATACCGCCCATGGACTACTGAGCGCACCGTTGACCTAGGAAAGGGAAACATAAAGCACTCCTTTCTGGTGATCCCCGAATGCCCCACTCCCCTATTAGGAAGAGATTTGCTGACCAAATTGGGGGCAACAATCTCCTTTGAGCCTCAAGGGCCACAGGTGGCCTTCCATGATCAGAGGGTTGGACAGCCTATGGTCACAATCTTGTCCTTAAAATTAGAAGATGAATACCGGCTCTATGAGGAATCGAAGCTCCAATCCATTCCTCCAGCCTGGCTAACTGATTTTAGAGATTCTTGGGCTGAAACGGCCGGACTCAGGCTAGCAAACCAACAGCCCCCTGTAGTGGTCACTTTAAAAGCCACTGCCACGCCCGTCCGAGTCAAACAATACCCCATCAGTAAGGAGGCCCATCAAGGGATAAAAAAAGCATATACAGAGACTGTTAGATCTAAAAGTATTGACCCCCTGCCAATCCGCATGGAACACTCCATTGCTTATCAGCCGGTACAAGATCTGAGAGAAGTTAACAGTAGGGTGGAAGACATCCACCCCACAGTGTCAAATCCTTATAACTTGCTTAGTGGCCTGAGTCCATCCAAAACCTGGTACACTGTCCTTGATTTAAAAGACGCTTTCTTCTGTTTGCCCCTACACAAGGATAGCCAGCCCCTCTTCGTGTTCGAATGGACTGACCCAGACACAGGGGCTACTGGGCAAATGACTTGGACACGCCTCCCTCAGGGGTTCAAAAACAGCCCTACCATCTTTGATGAGGCCCTCCACAAGGATGTGGTGGCTTTCTGGGCTCAGCATGCAGACTTCACTCTTCTTCAATATGTAGATGACCTGCTGCTAGCAGCCGACACAGAATCTAAGTGTGTTAAGGGGACTCAAGCTCTCTTACGTGAGTTGGCCATATTGGGATATACAGTATCAGCCAAAAAGGCCCAAATCTGCAAAAGGGAGGTGGTTTTTCTAGGCTATACTCTAAAGGGGGGTAAGAGGTGGCTCACTGAGGCACGAAAACAGACTGTAACCCAGATTCCCCCACCAAAAAGCCAGAGACAATTACGAGAATTTTTGGGAACTGCGGGGTTTTGCCGGCTGTGGATCCCAGGATTTGCATCCCTAGCAGCCCCCTTATACCTACTACTCAAAGGGGGCTCATCTTTTGTCTGGGAGGAAAGCCACCAACAAGCTTTCGATGCCATCAAGCCAGCACTCCTGTCAGCCCCAGCCTTAGCGCTTCCCAATATAGGCAAGCCATTCATTCTCTTCATTGAAGAGAAAAATGGATTGCCAGAGGGGTATTAACCTAGATCTGTGGACCATGGAAAAGGCCCATGGCCTACCTCTCAAAGAGGCTAGATCCAGTGGCAAATGGATGGCCCCCATGCCTTAAAGCTATTGCAGCAGCAGCCTTGCTCACTAGTGATGCAGACAAACTGACTCTAGGTCAAAAACTGACCATCATTGCCCCTCACACCTTGGAGAGCGTCATCTGCCAGCCACCTGACAGGTGGCTTTCCAACGCCCGCATCGCCCACTACCAAAGCCTCCTGCTCAACAAAGACAGGATAACCTTTGGACCCCCGACGGTCCTTAACCCAGCAACCCTGCTGCCAGAAGAGACTTCGGAGCTAGTTCTACACACCTGCCAGGACATCCTGGCAGAGGAAACAGGAATACGGCCCGACTTAACAGATCAGCCATTGCCCGATGCAGAGGTAACCTATTTCACTGATGGGAGCAGCTTTCTGATGCGAGGTAAACAGTATGCGGGGGCCGCGGTGACCGACCACTCCAATGTGATCTGGACAACCGGACTAAAGGAGGGCTCCTCAGCTCAAAGGGCTGAATTAATTGCCCTCACCAAGGCCCTGGAGCTCGCCGAAGGAAAACGAGCAAACATCTACACTGATAGCTGGTATGCTTTTGCCACTGAACACATCCATGGGGCCATATACAGACAGAGGGGACTCTTAACCTCTGCAGGAAAAGAAATAAAACACAAACAGGAGATTCTCCAATTGCTGGTTGCAGTCATGCTACCACAAAAAGTGGCTATAATACATTGTAACAGCCATCAAAAAGGGACTGACCTTGTCACCAAGGGAAACAATTTGGCAGACGTGGCAGCAAGGTCTTCAGCCATAGACAGCCCCCAGATGCTAGCACTTGATACTGATGTCCCCCCTAAAGAGGAGGCTCAAATAGACAAGGGACCCCAGCCTCCAAAAGGGCCTGAAGTCTCTGATTTGACCATCTATCTTCAACGAGCACATCAGCTCACCCATCTAGGGATTAAAAAATTATGCCAACTGGCTCAACACCAGAATTTTCCAGAGACGCCCTCTTCTATCCGTGCAGCTGCCACTCAAACTATGGCCAACTGTAAGGCATGCCAGCTGACTAATGCACATCCTACCAAGCTAGCCCTGGGGAAGAGATTAAGAGGCACAAGGCCCGGACAATATTGGGAAGTAGATTTCACTGAAATTAAACCTGCCCGATATGAATATAGATATCTGCTGGTTTTTGTTGATACTTTCTCTGGCTGGACTGAGGCATACTCTACCAAGAAGGAGACTGCTGCCACTGTCACCAAAAAATTGATGGGAGAAATCTTTCCCCGCTTCGGAATGCCAAAGATAATCTGGTCTGATAATGGGCCGGCGTTTGTGGCTTAAGGTGAGTCAGGGGTTGGCCAACGTATTGGGGATTGATTGGAAATTACATTGTGCTTATAGACCCCAAAGTTCAGGACAGGTAGAAAGAATGAACAGAACCATCAAAGAGACCCTAATTAAATTAGTCCATGAGACTGGCTTACAAGATTGGACAACGCTCCTGCCTTATGCCCTTTTCCGTGCTCAAAACACTCTGTCGGCCAAACCCCCTAACCTAACTCCTTTTGAAATTCTTTTTGGCACCCCTCCTCCCATCTGAGACCTCTCCCCTTCAGATGATAGCTCTGCTGTATTACCCACTTTTCTGTCTGACAGGCTCATCGCTCTCGAGCGAATACAAAAGATCCTTTGGAGGCAACTGTCCACGGCCTACGCCCCCATCAACTCGCCAACCCCTCACCCTTATCAAGTGGGTAACTTCGTGCTGGTCCGCCGCCACCAAGTTGAAACCCTGCAGCCTCGCTGGAAAGGACCTTATCAAGTGCTGCTGACTGCCCCCACCGCGGTTAAGGTCGATGGCATCGCTCCCTGGATACATGCGTCGCACCTGAAGCCTGCCTCCCCGCCTCAGGATAACAACTGGACCTTAGAACGAACTGGTAACTCCCTCAAAATTCGATTTCGAAGGACAACACCTGTCTAAGGAGCCAAGATACCCTCATGTTACTCTGTTACCCAGATGGCTTCGCTGTCATCATTGTCTCTGTTACCCTTGTGCTGGCCATAGGATTGTGGGTCACATTTCCCTCAGACCTAGGCCATCTTGCAAAAATTAGTCTCCTCTCCCTATTCTTTGGCATAGTAACCCTGTTCTCTTACCTAAACTGCCTGGTGGTGCCAGTGGAAATTAGGCTTCTTGAATAGAACCTCTCATGATGCCCCAGATACTTGCCCTGCTCAGCTCCGTTGCCATTGCTGTGATCCTGCTATTCCCCCCATGCAATGGCAACCCACATGCATCGCTGACATGGAGGGTCTACCAGAGCCATGACAAAAATTACTCTGGGACCAAGCTATTAGCTCAATGGAAACAGGAAAGCCCACTTTTGAAATAAGTCTGTGCTCGGCAATCCCTGACACTAGCTGCGAGGGTGATTTCCATGTATATCTCTGCCCCCTCGAGGGAACTCCTACCTATTGTAGGTCCCCCTCTGAGTTCTGGTGCCCCTACTGGGATTGTGTAACCCTGGCCTCTGGATGGATGCCCCCCTTGATAGACCATCACTTGTCCATTCAGAGGGCTTGGAAAAAGAGGAAAGCTTGATACTCTAATTATAACAGTTTTAGCCCCCAATGACCCCCACTGGGGCCAGATGCAGGCTTGGGGCATCCAGGCCTATTTATCAGGTACTGACCCAGGTAATGTCCTCTTCATATCTAAAGGTCCCGTCTGGACCCTACCATCAGAAACTGACCTGGGTGAACCCATCATCCTACCTACACCTAGGCCTTCCCCTCAGGGAGACAGGACACTCCCAAAGGTAGAAACTACACTCAAAGATAGCACCATTGTTACACTTAAAACCCAAAAACAAAGGCCAAAATCACCCCTTACCCCTCAGAGCCCTTCCCCTCTCCCGGTTACTATGAAACCCCATCGCCCCTCTCTAGGTGATAACTTACTCAAGCTGGTCCAAGGAGCATATATTGCCTTAAATCATACCCAGCCTAACCTCACACGATCATGTTGGCTATGCTTAAGTTCCATGTCCCCATACTATGAGGGAATTGCAGTTAATGAGGCCTTTATAAGAACAACAGACCAAAGCAAATGCTCCTGGGGAAAAAACTACTCTATTAACCTTTTAGAGGTTTCAGGAAGTGGGACATGTCTCGGAAAACCCTCAAACCGCCAACTAAAATTCAGAGAGTTTGTAAGACTTCACGTTCTTCCTTTAGTCCAAACCAATATCTTATCCCAGCCCCGGAAACTGGGCATGCAAGTCGGGATTCACATCCTGCATAGCTGCTGACGCCTTTGACTCCAATCATGATCTTTGTGTGATGGTAAAGATTTTTCCCCATATCTCATATAGACCTGGCCCCTTCTGGACCCACTGCCTGGCCAAAGAACTAAACGAGACCCAATGACTGTGACCCTAGCTGTACTTTTGGGGATGGGGGTTACAGCAGGGGTAGGAACAGGAACTGCTGCATTGATTAAGGGGCAACAACACTTCCATCAGTTGCGAGCCTCAATAAATGAAGACTTAAAACAAATAGAGGCTTCTATAACAGCCTTGCAAACCTTTTTAACCTCCTTATCTGAGGTGGTCCTACAAAACAGGAGGGGACTAGACCTACTCCTCCTAAAGGAGGGTGGCCTATGTGCCGCTCTAAAAGAAGAGTACTGTTTTTACGTTGAGCATTCAGGCATAGTAAAAGACGCCATGCCCAAAGTCAGAGAAAATATCAAAACTAGAGAAAAAGAATACTCTTTGGAGACATCCTTCCCTTCCCTATGGCAAGGGCTAGCTCCTTATGTTATTCCCCTCTTAGGCCCTTTAGCTGCTTTGCTCCTACTCTTTACCTTTGGCCCTTGCGTTCTAAACAAGATCACACATCTGGTGCGATCACAGGTCTCCCAGGTAAAGATGATGGTCTTGAGATACCAATATGACCCAATACCTACTAATAATCTCTAGGATTAGAGATCCTCACAAAAAAAGGGGGGAATGAAGAGTAAAAACATTCAGGAAACCCCTCTTGCCTTGTCACACGGTCAGAACAACTAGATGTTCTGGCCTGATAGGGAAGTTGTGGTCCAACATCCCCAAAAATAAGAGCACCGTGAACTATCCACCCTGCCAGACAGGATATGAGTTTTCAAAAACATCAAGCCACCTGCAGCAGATAGCTCACCCACCAGTAAGCAAATGATACAACCCCTATTAACCACTGCCATCTGCTTCTGTAACCGATGCTTGCTTTGCGGCTTTTGGCTTTATATACTCTGCACTTCCCTACCCGGACACTCTTTCACTCCCCTCTCCCCACCGGAGTGTGGTCAGAGGGTCCCTCGCATGCACGGACAATAAAACCCCTTGATTTTTCATGAGAGCTGGCTCCTTGGGGCCTTCTTTGCAATGGTGATCTTACCCTATCACTAGGAGATCTTCCACCCTTAACTAGGTTCACCCCTAAATGATTAATCATTCAAGAAATAGTAAAAAATAGCGACATCATTCTTCCCACCGCAATGACCATCATATCCCTACTCAACCTATACTTCTATATACGACTAGTCTACTCAACATCACTAACCCTATTTCCTTCAAAAAACAATACAAAAATAAAATGACATTACCAATACACAAAACACAATTCACTACTCCCCACAATCTTAATTATTTTCGCCTTTCTCCTTTCACTCATATCAATAACCAGTATTCTGTACTAGAGGATTAGAGTAAGCAGACTAAGAGCCTTCAAAGCTCTAAGTAAATATTAAATATTATTTATCCCCTGTCTAAAGACTGCAAGCTTCCATCTTGCATCAACTGAAGGCAAATCAGGCACTTTAATTAAGCTAAGCCTTCACTAGATTGGTGGGTTCCAACCCCATGAAACTTTAGTTAACAGCTAAATATCCTAGTCACCTGGCTTCAACCTACAACTCCTGCCCTTGAAAAAAAAAGAAAGGTCAATTGCTCCTTTGAATTTGCAATTCAATATGAATTATCACCTCGGGGCTGATTGATAAGAGGGTTCAACCTCTGTGCTTAGATTTACAGTTTAATGCTTACTGGGCCATCTTACCTGCTTGTACTTATGTTAGTTAATCGTTGATTATTCTCTACTAATCACAAAGACATCAGCACACTGTACCTTCTCTTTGGTGCTTGAGCAGGGATAGTAGGAACCGCCCTGAGTCTGCTAATCCGAGCAGAGCTAGGCCAACCTGGGACACTGCTGGGGGACGATCAGATCTATAATGTAATCATCACCGCCCACGCTTTCGTAGTAATTTTCTTTATGGTTACACAAATTATAATCAGAGGCTTCGGAAACTGATTAGTTCCCTTAATAATTGGTGCCCCTGACATAGCCTTCCCTTGAATAAACAATATAAGCTTTTGACTTCTTCCTCCATCATTTTTACTTTTACTCTTGTCCTCAATAGTTGAGGCCAGGGCTGGAACAGGGTGAACCGTCTACCCTCCTTTAGCAGGAAACATAGCACATGCTGGGGCTTCCGTAGATTTAACCATTTTTTCACTTCACTTAGCAGGTGTCTCTTCAATCCTGGGGGCAATCAATTTTATTACAACTATTATTAACATAAAACCCCCTGCAATGACACAATATCAGACTCCATTATTTGTTTGATCAGTTTTAATTACTGCTGTTCTCCTCCTCCTATCCCTACCTGTGCTAGCTGCATGCATTATTATATTACTCACAGATCGAAATTTAAACACAACTTTCTTCGATCCAGCTGGAGGAGGGGACCCCCATCCTATATCAACACTTATCCTGATTCTTCCGGCATCCTGAAGTTTATATCCTTATCTTTCCAGGTTTCGGAATGATCTCACATATTGTTACATACTACTCAGGTAAAAAAGAGCCGTTTGGTTACATAGGAATGGTGTGAGCTATAATATCTATTGGATTCTTAGGGTTTATTGTTTGAGCTCATCACATGTTTACTGTTGGAATAGACATAGACACACGAGCATATTTTACATCTGCTACTCTAATTATTGCGATTCCTATGGGAATCTATTTAGCTGATTAGCAACACTACACGGGGGTAATATTAAATGATCCCCTACAATGCTGTGGGTGCTAGAGTTCATTTTTCTATTTACTGTTGGGGGATTAACAGGTGTTGTATTAGCCAACTCCTCACTAGACATTGTCTTACATGACACCTACTACATAGTTGCCCATTTCCACTACGTATCGTCCATAGGAGCTGTGTTCACAATTATGGGTTGTTTTGCTCATTGATTCCCATTATTCTCTGGTTATACATTAAACAATACATGAGCAAAAATTCGTAATATTTGTAGGGGTTAATCTGACCTTTTTTCCTCAACATTTTCTAGGACTCTCTGGTATATCTCGCTGATACTCTGACTATCCAGATGCATATACATTATGGAATACTGTATCATCAATAGGTTCTTTTATTTCTCTTACAGCCGTAATAGTGATAGTCTTTATAATTTGAGAAGCCTTTGCATCAAAATGAGAAGTTATAGACATTGAATTAACACCAGTTAACCTTGAGTGACTTCATGGCTGCCCTCCTCCATATCATACATTTGAGGAACCTACATATATCAAGTCTTAGGAACAAGAGAGGAATGAATTGAACCCCCTAAAGTTGGTCTCAAGCCAACCTCATAACCCCTATGACTCTCTTCACCAGAAAAAGATATTAGTAAAAACATTACATAACTTTGTCAAAGTTAAATTATTGGTTAAACCCCTATATATCTTTATGGCTTATCCTTATGAATTAGGTTTCCAAGATGCTTCTTCCCCTATTATAGAAGAGCTACTATACTTTCATGATCACACATTAATGACTGTCTTCCTAATCAGCACATTAGTCTTGTATCTCATCACAATTATATTAACTACAAAACTCACCCATACAAGCACCATGGATGCTCAAGAAATCGAGACAATCTGAACTATTTTACCAGCCATTAACCTCATTTTAATTGCTCTTCCCACTCTTCGAATCTTGTACATAATAGATGAGATTAACAGCCCATCACTTACTGTAAAAACAACAGGTCATCAATGATATTGAAGCTATGAATACACAGACTATGAAGGGCTTAATTTCAATTCTTACATAGTACCTACAACAGACCTTAAGCCTGGGGAACTTCGACTACTTGAAGTAGACAATCCAGTTGTTCTACCTATAGAGACATCAGTCCGTATACTAATTTCATCAGAAGATGTTCTTCACTCATGGACAGTCCCATCTCTAGGCCTAAAAATGGATGTGATTCCAGGGCACCTAAACCAAGCTACCTTAATATCATCACGTCCAGGGTTATGTTATGGACAATGTTCAGAGATCTGTGGTTCAAACCACAGCTTTATGCCTATCGCTCTCAAGATAGTACCATTAAAAGAATTCAAAAACTGATCATCTTCAATATTATAACATTATGAAGCTATTTGCAGCGTTAACCTTTTAAGTTAAAGATCAGAGGAGTATTTCCTCCATAATGAAATGCCACAGCTAGATGCGTCCAAATGATTCACAGTCATCATATTAATAATTATCTCCCTATTCATGTTATTTCAATTAAAAATTTCATCTCACTTGTTCTACATAGAACCTAAAACAACCACCTTAAAAATCACAAAACATAATTCACCTTGAGAAAACAAATGAATGAAAATCTATTTGCCTCTTTCATCACACCTACGTTAATAGGATTGCCCATCATAACTCTTATTGTTATATTTCCAATTATTTTATTTCCCTCCCCCACTCATTTAATTAATAACCGCCTTATTGCCGTTCAACAGTGGGTAGTTAAACTTATCCTAAAACGAATGATAACAATACATAATATTAAAGGACGTACCTGATCATTAATACTAATCTCCCTCATTTTATTTATGGGTCCACCAATCTTTTAGGCCTCCTACCACACTCCTTTACCCCTACCACTCAACTGTCAATAAACTTAGGTATGGCTATTCCACTATGAGAAGCAACAGTAATTCTAGGCTTCCGACATAAAACAAAATCATCCCTTGCTCATTTTCTTCCACAAGAAACTCCTGGACCACTGATCCCAACACTGGTCTTGATGGAAACAATTAGCTTATTTATTCAACCAATCGCCCTAGCAGTCCATCTAACCACAAACATTACTGCTGGACACCTGCTTATACATTTAATTGGAGGGGCTACACTAGCCTTAACTACTATCAGCACCCCTACAGCTCTAATTACATTCATCACCTTATTCTTATTGACAATACTAGAAATTGCTGTGGCAATAATTCAAGCCTATGTATTTACGCTACTAGTAAGTCTTTACCTACATGATAACTCTTAATGACCCACCAAACACACGCTTACCATATAGTAAATCTCAGCCCATGACCTCTCACAGGGGGCTTTATCTGCCCTTTTACTGACTTCAGGTATAATCATATGATTTCATTTTAATTCAAAAACGCTATTAATGTTAAGTTTTTTAGCTATGCCCTCACTATATATCAATGATGACGAGACATCATAGGAGTGACTTCGTAGGAGTGAAGGGGCATATCAAGGATATCATATAACAGCTGTACAAAAAGTATTGAGATATGGAATGGTCTTATTTATTATCTCTGAAGTATTTTTCTTCTCGGGCTTTTTCTGAGCATTTTATCACTCTAGCCTAGCCCCAACCCCAGAACTAGGAGGATTCTGACCACCCACAGGTATCAACCCATTAAACCCTATAGAAGTTCCTCTTTTAAATACATCAGTTCTCCTAGCATCCAGTGTATCAATTACCTGATCCCACCACAGCCTAATAGAAGGGAATGGAAAACAAATAATTCAAGTCTTGGCTATTACAATTGCCCTAGGCATTTATTTTACCCTACTACAAGCCTCAGAGTACTATGAAGCCTTGTTTTCTATTTCTGATGTAATTTATGGCTCAACCTTTTTTGTTGCAACAGGGTTTCACGGCCTACCCGTAATTATTGGGTCAACATTCCTTTTAGTATGCCTTTTCCCTCAACTATTCTACCACTTTACACCCAAACACCATTTTGGCTTTGAAGCAGCTGCTTGATATTGACACTTCGTAGATGTAGTATGACTGTTCCTCTATGTCTCCATTTACTGATGAGGCTCATACTTTCTTAGTATGAACAGTATTACCGACTTCCAATCAGCAGGCCCCAGACACACCTGGGAGAATGTAATTAACACTATAATTTCTCTACTAACCAACTGCTTCTTAACCCTTCTATTAATCACAATTGCATTCTGACTACCTCAAATAAACACTTATACAGAAAAAACTAGTCCATACGAATGTGGGTTTGACCCCACAGAATCTGCACGCC